TTTGGGGGGGGGGGGGGGCTTTTTGCTTTTTATATGCTGCCCAGAGTCACATACTTGGAATTGGGCAGTCATATAAAGGGATAAAATGTATTTTTTTAAAAAAATATGGTTAAATTCTACGCACGAGACCAAACTTAATGCCCCCGCCCCCACCAGTTTTCATTCAACTGAAAGTCCTTCTTTAACGTTTTGGTTTTTGTTCAGAGCAGGACAAAGAACCCAAAGCCGGCTTCTGGCTGCACCCTATTATAAAGGGTCCTCACCAATCAATCACCCGAGCTGGAGTTGATTGATGGGGCAATTTACACTATTGAGGGTTGCACGTCTATCCAAAGTGGGCAGCTGCCATGGCCTGTCTCTCACATGCACGTATAAACCAAGATTGTTGTTGTTTTAAACAAGGATTTCGTTTTCAAATGTGTTCACTCTAGTTTTGTGTAACGCTTCCTACAAACACACACACCCGTTCCCATTTGCAAAGCCACTATGGTATTGTGTTTGTGTAAAAGTAACAGAAGATATGCCTATTAGTGACAGGGCACTATAAGCATCATCTGGAGACTTAAACACCAGCGTTTCTTTTCAAAAGATGCTGAACAGGACAAGAACTTTTGTTCCTTCCCCCTTTTTCCCATCGAAACACACAGCCTGTGATTCCCTCCATGGGAATGACCATGAAGGTCTCTGAAAGCTGATACCAAATGATGCTTTTTAATGTGAGAAAAGGGGAAGATGATTGAATATTAAGATTGTGCCGCGCTTCCGATTTGGATCCAAAGAGATGTTTCAGGGGTGTGAATGCAACACCTGTCTGCAACTCTTTAAAGCAGCTGCATCTTTCCCAGGTATTGCAGCTGCCCCATCACCACCAGAAAAACAGCAGCTGGGGACAATATTCATGCTCCAAAGGACTTTCCTGGAATCCAATCAAATCTCAGGGGCTCCACAACCCCACTCAGTGCAAAGCTAAAAAGTAACAAAAGTACCTATGAATTGCATGTGAATGCAAATGAAATCCAGTTTTGGTTTCCCCTTGGCTCCGCCCATCACTGATTGACGTGCATTGCTGACACATCACTCAAAGGCCAAATGTGACACTTGGCCTAAGAAGCTGGATGCCACGGCATGCCACCAATCTCTGGGCAGTTTTGTATATCATGCCCCCTACAGGAATGTTGGCCTTGGATTTTACAAATACAAGAATATTTGGGGGAAGCTGGAGAGGAAGAGGAGGGGGGTGGTTTGTCTGTCTCTTGAGAGTTCAGCATCCCCACTTGTTGAGTTTCCTGGAATTATTAGGAATCATAGAGTAGTTCTAGCATCAGGCTGAGGGTTTCTTGGAGCAGGAAGCTTCCACGTTGGCATGATTGGGGGGGGTCGCATTCTTTCTTCCCAGCCACTGACTTGCGAGATGTTCCTGGGGAATAGCAACGGACGCTTATCTCAGAATCTTTTAGGAACTCCATACAGCTCCGCCTGAGCTTGAGCAAAACGAACTCCCAACCCAATTTGGGGTCGTGGTTAAAAGGTTGGATGGAGAGAGACAAATTTGAGCCCACGCCTCGTGGTCTCAGCTTACCCTACCTTACAGGATGGGTGTTGTGAGGAGAAAATGGAGATCCAGTCCCATCTGAGCTACTTTGAGCTTCTGGAGAAAAGGCAGGATGTAAGTCTAACCCAATCTTAAATACCTCCCCTGAAAACGACAGTGAAGCTCCCTCTCTTTCTCTTTCTGCCCATTTCCCTTTTTCTCTCCCCCCAACCTTCTCCTTCCTTCTGGTTCTGCCTGATTTTGTGTAAACTATTCAGTGGGCTTCGCTCCCAGAGAAATTATCTTCCTCTCCCAAGAAAACAAGTAACGTTCATTCCAGTCTTAGAAAAATCATAAATTTGATCTGACAGCTCAAAGGAAGCAATCTGATGCCACCCCAAAGTTTGGGATGACAATGCCCATAATCCCTTGCCAAGTTGGCTGTGGCAGTGGGAAGTGTAGTCGAATGCTTTTGGATGGCCCTGGGCAGTGAAATGCTGAATTGATTTTTAACTGATGGGTCGAGGATTCACCACTGACTGGGTCCACACACTGCCTGAAGTTACGTTTATTTAACCGTGGTTCTTAAATAAGCCCTTAGCATGATACTAAGACATAAACCATGATCTACAACCTCACTGGAGGGTTTTACACAACATGCTAAACCCAAACCAAACTACATTGTGCTTAGTATTGTGTACGAACTCAACCCCTGATTCACAGACTGACTCAACTTCAGCATTATTGCTCTCCAAAGAGTTGGCAAGAAACTGAGTCTTGGGTCCCCACAAATCCACTTGGCTAAAGCAGGGAGGCTGAAATGAAATTCCTGAAAGTATCAGCAGCTTCCAAGAAACAGGTACCAACTGCCTCTTCTGACAAGGATGCTGGCCCGAGGTGCAAGGTGCTGCACAAAATTAACTGTTTACTGTTCTCATGCTCACTCGCTTTGCACATCCCTGTTTCTCCAAAATCAGATCTATCTCCCAGGTTGATGATTTGGAGGTGAGTGGGAAGGATGAATAATAATTTCTGGGCGGGAAGACTGAATAATGATTTGCTGAGTAATATCTACCGAGGCACTCCGGATGGTTTTCCAGCATATATAGAGAGAGGGAAAGGGGGGAAGATGTATACACAAAAAAGACCCAGAAAACTGGCTCAGACAACAGCTGGAAAGACAGAAAGTAAAGTTTGCTTCTAATGCACACACACACACACACACATTTTGCAAAATACTGGAACCTATTTAGCCCTGAGAGTGGTCTCCATTAAAGGGAAAATGCCAGAGACAAGCACAAACTGCCTCGAGGAGGGGAAAAACATGAAAACTCAAATCAGTGCAAAGCTGGGTCAATCTGTGCTTCTCCAGTTCTGATCCCCTCTGGAAGACCCCCAGATCCAAGAACAGGCAAGCCACAGCAAGAAATGGCTTAGCTGGAAGTCTGAGTGGGGGGGCAGGGAGGGCTCACATACAGGTACTCTCTCGACCTCTCCCAATGAGCACCCCTGTGATTTACTAACATCCCCTCAAACCCTGGCCATCCGCTTTCCTCCTAATGAACTGCTTTCCCATAAGCCACATCCTGCTGGGGTTATGGGAGTTGTAGTCCACCCGGGGGGGCAGGGGGGGCGAGGGAAAGATGGCTGCTGTAAGCATCTGGAAATATACGCACAGACCTGCAGCAGAACACCTTGCTAGGCTGAAGGAGGCAGATGGGAGTGCTTGGAATGGCTGTCCGATAGTTATTTTGGAGGGTGTGAGGGCCTGGGGGGGCGGGGGGAATGTTCTCCTACTTCTTGGCCAAGACAGAGCTGTAATCCAAACCTAAACGTGGAAGAAGCTTAGCTCAGAATGCAGAAAGGGAAGAAATGCAAAGTCAAAAGGCCAGGACGCAGGACCTGGGCTCAGTCTCTGGGTTTCCCTTCTACAGACCAACTTTCCCAGCTCACCAGATTCCAGACTGAAGCCGTCCCCAACGTCACATGCTCCAAACCATCATTGTTCCCTTACCTTTCTTGATCACCGACTGGTCCAAAAGGTTCATACCGGCCTCATCCACCGCCTGCAAGAACAATGGGCATAGATAATTACTCACCTCCACCACACAGAGTTCTGGTAAGGATTATGAGATTAATCTATCTGAAGTGCTTTTTGCCCTCCGGGCATTTCAAATGCTGCGAAAAATGAAAGTAAACCAGGGCTGGTCATAGAGATCATGTTTTAACCTCTTTCTTCAAAGCTGGGGCTTCTAGAGAGGGTTTCTTAGAAGAGAAGAAAAATTTTCTTCTTTTATTTTTTAAACAACATACCCAGCTTCTTCAAATCTGGGGTTTCCACACAGAGTTTTTCCAAAGAGTGGAGGAGAAAGGAAACTCCTCGGCACTCTTCCATTTCTCAAGCAACCATCAAATAATCTGGGCCGAGCCACTGACGTTTTGAGAGGGGAAGAGAGAGTCACAGAAGTCAGTGACTGAATTTTTGGTTTTCAGCTGAACCGTCACCTAACCCAGCAGGCTGACTCCCCACAAAAAACAGAAAGCAAGAATTTTATTATTTTTGAAAACCTCCTCTCCTTCTTTAACGGACCTGCTGTTCCAAAAATCCAGCCTATATTTTCTAGAAAGGGGCAAGAGACAACCTGGTTCCTTCTAATTATTACTATAAACAAACAAACCGCTTCTAAGGAAAAAAAGCCCTCGCGAGGATTCAAAATTGCTCCTTAAAGATGGCAGGGCATAATTCAGCTAAAGGCATTTTTAAGCTTCATTGATTCCCCAAAGGAAAAGACTCCTGCATATGTTTAACTAGAGCATCGAAACCAGTGGGGCCCAATCTTGCAATTTACCATTTAGGAATACTGAAGTCCTCCTGAATGAAGGAGGAATTACTCCTTGACAAATGCTCCCAGGCTTGGCCAGAGTAAGATTGTAATTTTTAAGGCACGTTATTTTGGGCGCAGATCCCAGTAATACAATTGTAAGAAGCAAAGGGGGAATAATTCTTTATGGTTTGGGGAGAAAAAATAAATTCCCCAATGAGTTCCCCTGTCTACCTTTTTACCAAGTTCCATTTCTAGAATAGGATACAATTTTTATTACGGTCACAGATTACAGATAGAATTTATTATTATTAGAATTACAGATAGAAGCATATTAAAAGTTCCACTTCTAGTTTGCTGCAGGAAACAAATTGTAACAGGAAGTTTTCT